TGTGTGTGTGTGTGTATGTGTGTGAGTCTGTGTGTGTATGTGTATTGACAGTAGCACTTCTGTCCTTAGTATAACTTAGTGCGAGACATGTTTTCACGAAATTATGCTAATTACTGCATTTATTAAATATTGTCTCCTCAGTTTTTTATTAAATACTTTTTGCTGGTGCAGCAAAAAGAATTCAATGAGCGTGTAATTATTTGTCTTTTTCAACCAAAAACAATTTCTGCAGTTATAAAAGTGCCCCTTCTTCAAGAAATTCTAAGATAGGAGTGCAAGTGTAGGAAGGAGACGCGCTGCAGAGAATCTAGAAAGGCTTACACCATTCCAGAAACTAAACTCATAATGAAACACTGAAAAAATATTTAATTAGATGTGCCACACTGAAAACACTGAAAAATATTCAATATTCAATTAGAAAAAATATTCAATTCAATTTATTCCCTAAATCGAACAGTAAATTTTGACAAAATTTTCGACGTGAGATAAAAATAGCCATTTTACATTATGGTAATCTACTGGCTGACTGTAGCTCAATCACACATTCAGCAATCACCAGATCGGATCATTGCTGACAAGTCAGTCAGTGGGATGACAGCTTATTCAGAAAAATTAACGAACGTCTCAAGATGAAATGATCTCATGTGAAGTCCTTGGTTGAATTTGAAATACTGGAAAAATTTAAGGCCAGTGGTCAATTCTGTGAAAAAAAAACTACTTCAGAATTTTGAGAAATTTTTAACGCACAGAAAACAATAACTATATCCTTTATCTCTCAGTTTGCTTTTGGAATGACGACTTCGAGACATATCAAAACAATCAAAATCTTGCTTAAAAACTTCTGTTGGGAAAAACGTCAAGCTCACAATCCCTTCAGAAGATCAAACGAACGCCAGAATCCGCAGAAGCCTGATCAGTGGACACAGCACTAGAAAAGACAGACGGAAAATTTGCGAGCTGCAAACTTGAAGAATCAGATTATGAGATATTGCTGATTTATGTATTCAATTACATGTGCATATAACTTGCACCGTAAACTATGTGTGATATTCGGCATGGAACACATCCACGGAGTTTTATTTCACCAGATCACTCCCCTCATTACCAGGGGCCATCATCCATCCGACGACTCCTCCCTTCAATTTGCACCGAGTGCTCTCTCGGGAGCTTTTTAATTTACTTGGTGTTCTCTAGCACTTTTTTGGGCTCACGCTATTGTCACTGCAGTCTTGCCCAGGCTAAATGCAAAAAAGCACATGGAACTTACCCGATAGGTAGCACAATTTGCGCGCTGCTGGAAATGGGTCATTGCCAGAACAGTCCACTATTTCCAGCTGATAAATTTCTCCACGAATTTTGTACTGCTTCCGGTAAAACTCCTCGATAGTTGGAATGTAGCGCTCCTCGAACTTGTCGCACAGAAAACGTTTCACTATGGCACTTTTACCGGTGCGTGGTGCTCCGACAACAACCAGCCGACAAGTTTTCTTCGGACAGGGTGAATCCGGACAGCTAGACGCATCCAGGTAATCATTGCCCACCGCTGATCGCAGCCGAATTAATTTTGATTGTGCATCTTGTCTCAGTGAACGCCGTGCCATCAACACTGCAACTAATACTATTATTTGCGCAAGGCTTCGATTACGAACCTTACGAATAGCATCATGACGCCCGCATCCAGAAAAGCGTCTACAGAACAAAAGGTGGAGGGCTAAACGCCACGTTGGCGTAAACAAATGAAGAAAATATTATTTTTATTTCGGCAGTTTTGTTTCCCGCACTTTTCAGCAGCTCAAAAACGTAGCTATATCCGACATACAGGAACATCTCAGTAACAACAGTAACACGGAATCCTCACACCTATTGCCCGGGCAGCTTTGATATCCTTTTTATGTGTTATTATAGCAGCTTTTAATTTGTTACTTACCTTTTAATATGCATTCTAAACGAAATCCGCTGGATCTCCATAACGAAGAGATTCTGGTCAGTTTCAAACACTCAGCCGCTGCCTCCCACTAAAAAGTTCAAAAACACTGTTCCCTAGTTGTCCCACTAGTGAAATAGAAGCCTCGACCTCCTTTGCGGTCACAATGCTATTTTCCACTGCGCTTCATCTGGCAACAATTAATTTATTGTATTAATATATTAATTATACCAAGAACATCAAAACTGGTCAGGCTGCCAGTTTGGGTATCCTCTGTTAGTAATGTTATCGGGATGCTCGCACACACCGAGTGCAGCTATGCCAGACTCTTAGATTCTGGACTGCATACTTCCAGTTAATAACATCAACGTCTTGTGCCCGCCACATTTTTGAAGACTGCCCGAGTAGTTGTTTTACTCCTCGTAAGTACCATTCATATAAGATGTTCACCGATTATACGTAAAATATTAATTGTAGGGCATAAAAAAGCTAAGAGACAGGAGACACTTTTCCAGTAATAAGGCTGCAGCATAATATGTCCCAAGGACCCATCTTGCGCTTTTTATTATACGAAGTCAAGAGCAGCTGAGCAAAGCACTCGAATAATTAGAACAATAACGGATGAAATTTATGGTGCTTGCTGACAGTGGAGAAGTCAAAAAGGTTTAAATTAGTGCTGAAATAAAAGAGGAAAATTGTGGATGTATGGAAATAAGAAAAGCAACGCTCATTCGGCTTGGAAGGCGAGGACCGTTGTTTGTTCGAGGATCGTTCTCCGTCTTTCCCCTAGGAACAGACTGGCCATGCACAGAGGGAAGCACACACTAACTCTATTAGGCGACAAGTTGTAAAGTGAAACTCCTTTCGCATCTCCAATTTATGTCAACAATCAAAGCGCAAAAACCGGATGTTTTGGAAAATTTTCATCCAAAAACCACAGGCTAAATGAGAACTACCCGAACAACCAATTTTTGCCACAATGATTATTCACATTAGCACAAATTATGAACCGCATTCCAGGCAAACAATCCCGCAGGTTGCTGCATTTTTGAAGCTGGCGGTAAGCATCTGCTTAATAGCCTATTGCTTCTGGCATGTGGTTTCAAATATAAATGTGGCGTAACTGCAGAAATTTAGGATAAGGCGAGGAATAAATGTTTTTGGAATTACTTCACAGTTTCAAAAGAGGGCCATCGACAATCCTGCTAGCATTCGCTTTCTGTTGGTACTTACTACCTTTCAGGCTATTTCCGAGTGCATCTGCTTCTCATTGAAAGTGAAAACGGAGGGAGGTTTTGACTTTAATTATTATTGTTTGCTTCAGAACACTTGAGGAAAAACAGATGATCAGAAATTAGTTCCTCTGTCTTTCTGTGTCTTGATTTATGGTCTCTTTTGCTCAGATGTGAACTGAGATGCTACTCCGAACACGCAAAAGAATCTGAAATTGCAGTGCTTCCAGCCGATGAACAGGTCCATCCCCGCAACGTATAGCTAACAAAACTCTTTTTGTAACATTTACTCATTCAGTTCAGTGTAAAGAAGCGCTGCCTCGGTGATGTGCAGTCGGCTGATACACGAAAATTGCTTCGGAAGTGCCGCAATCGAAATCGGTGGTTCAGTCTTTCTCCGGTAGGACCAGTACGTCGACTTACTCGTTTCCGTTCTGGTTGAACCAATCCATCGGCTCGCGAAACCAAACGCCTTAAATGTGGGTTGTTAAACCATTATTCATGTCAGAGTACAAAACACGCGAAAATCAACACGATGTCGAACAATAAGTTTTTCCCAACCTGCACTGCTTTTACAACAGTATGAAATGAAACGCACAAAAAAAAGAAAAAAAAAATAGCAAAAAGTAAACGCATGCGCAGATAGTGAGCGGTTCAGCTTCGGTACAGTGCAAATAATAAAAGTGGCAGCGATGAGAAGGAATATCCTGTCGCTCCTTAGCAAAAGCAATCTTAGTCCAAAGCGTACCTGCTGCCGGTACGAGGATGCGTTTTTTGCACAGTTCCCCCGCAAGTTTTTTCGCCAGTGGCATGCTCTTCCCGGCAGATGCTTCTAGCTAAAAGAATTGTGACTGGCCATCATGACTGTAAGAAATTATTACAATGACTCCCAATTCATGCCCAAAAAATTCAGCGCTCTGGATGCTTCGGTTGCG